CCTTTATCAAAATGCTAAACTACATTTGGATTAGTTTGAATTTATGTATAAACTTTGGTTGTTATTGATTGGGTAACATTATTATCATAATATTATAACAAAATGCTCTAAAATCAAAGGTTTATATATAAAAAGGAAAGCATGAATTGGGTTTATACATAAAGGCAAATGAGGAAGTAGTGGGGGAAGAGTGTAAAGTCTACATCAAATGAAGCTACACTTAATTGAATTTTCCCAAATGAAGAAAGAAGACATTATGATATTGATATGAAGGAATCAACAAAACCGAAACTTGTAGTAATAAGCTAATTTGATGCTACATTCACCCACCACAACACACAATGCTTTTGAGTGGATATACAGCTATGAGCTAACCACACCCCACCTTTTGTACCAAGTCCTAACAACTCACCTTTCACAAATTTTATATGGGTAATCATTCACAAACTTCAAACTCTCATCACCCGTGTTTTGACTATATGAGTGTATTTAGATTTGGTATTTAGTGTATTTAGTGTTTGGATCTTTTCGCGTGGAATAATATTATATATCCTCTTTAGTAACATCTTTAAAATTTTCATCTCAATTAATATGTCTTTTTATGTGGTATTAATAATTTACCAAATGTAATATCAAATGGTTGTTCTGGGGGTCAAGAAGGTTTGCTCCCTTTCTTAAGTTCTTGGATTCAAACATTGACGTCACCTACTACAATAACATTATGGTTTACCTGGTTATTTGAGCTGGTAGAATGTTTAATGGACTTTAATGATTAGTTGAGATGTATGTAAACTGATTTAGACATCTCGTTATAGAAAAAAAAAAAAAAAGTAATGTTAGGCATTACTCATTTGCACACCACTAGGGAGGACAGATCATGAATTAATGTTAGGAACGGTTAATTAGATAATTTAATATAATTCTCAGACTAAGTGAGATATATATAAAAAAAAGTAAGTGAGATCAAATTGAAAACCATTAACACATATATGGCCGGGTCAAAACATATTCTAAACAAATTAAATGGATTTATTTTTTAAGTGGGTCACCAACCCCCTCTTATCCCTTAACAATATCTAGCCTCGACACATTTAAGAAGAAATGTGTCATTTTATGATTAACCATGCAAGCATCTTGTAATGGAAAAAACTATTTGCATTTAAAACAATGCTCATGGCACCAATTATTTTAAGTAAATACACATCAAAATTTTAAATATTTGAATTACTTCATATGAACTGTTATTTTTAGCATAAAGTCGGCATAGTAATACTTTTAATTAAATTGGAAATACGATAAAAAATCTTGAAAATTGAGTAGAAAAATCTTTACAAAAATTATATCAATACCTACAATGAGAAAATGGTCGTGAAGAATATTTATTCTGGGTGCATACAGTCTCGCCCACCCTTTACTATTTACACCGAAAAAGCATATGCATCACTAAAATTTTTAAATTTTTGGTTTTTACTCTCATATATATATATATATGATAACAAAAGGAATAATGACCACACAAGAAAAATTTTAAAGTGGTTCTACAGGCTAAAACCAAGTCTACGTCCACTGTTATGTTATTGTTCTGGGTTGTGCATGGGGTGATTACAAGAGAAATATAACATAGGAGAGCTGATAATGCTTTAGCGAGCTACTTTACTAAGCAAGCTATTCCCTCTGTGTTATGGGGTTGTTCCCCTATTTTTTTTTTTCTTCCGAATCAAATCCTATAATTAGAGGTTGAGTTCCCCTTTTATACAAGTATTCTGATAATGGTTGAGAGTTGGTAGATTACAAGATAGATTACATGCATAATCTCCCATAATCCGAATCTAAGTCAATCCTCTCCCATGCTTAAGTCAGAACAATCATACTTATGGACTGATAAGCACACTGGTTAAGCTATTTGCTGGTCGGGCGACACATGGGCAATCCTGGTGGCTCAATCTCGGCATTGTCTCCAGGCAAATGGTGCAAATCGGACAGCAAAAAAATTACACACAATATATATATATATATATACACACACAAAATCAGTATAGTAATGCTTATTTAAATAAAAAAATGATGAAAAAAAGAGTCTTTGAGAATTGATAAGAAAAATTTCTTTTAAAATTATGTACTTAAAAAAATAAATAATGGGTTTGAAGGGTGTTTTGATATGTATTAGTTGTAGATCTGAATAATTTAAGTGGTGGGTATTCATAGAATTTTTCTGGTCAAACATTCTTGTGAAAGAAATATAATCTGCAATTTGTAAGAGTATTTGTTCTTTCTCATAACACAAATCACAACTCAATCACGGCACTGAACATTTTTAGCTCAACATGGTCAAGCAGTAAGGAGACACATTCATTATTACATTAGGGCCCAACAATACCTTTTCATGGGCCCATAAATTAATTTCCGAATTCTAGGATTTAAACCTTGTAAATCAACCCTCAAAAGAAAAAATATGACTTTTTCTGATTAAGTGATTTAAAAAAAATAATTTCTGATTTTGCATTCAATGAAAAATATGTGAATAGTTTGTTTCATAATATTACCATTGTTGAATATTATTAATTATATCTATACACATTTAAATTATCTTTTTCTTTTTTATTCTGTCCACTTTTCTTCATACACGCCAACATTATTTACTTTCAAGTCTTTGCTTTTCTCAGTCACATTGAATTCCTTGGCCAAGCCTTTCAATATAACTAGGTTTTCATTTTGATTGATATACATATATATTAAAATAATTTAAAACAATGCCACGTTTCCAAGAATACCCACTCAATATTAATATCATTTTCCCCCTCTTTTGGTGGTGAATAAGTCTTCCCACATATTTTAATCCTGAATGTGTCAAAATGACTTCTCAATCTTTAAGACTGGGTTAATCATTTGGATGGAAAATTCTAACTGGTACCTGAAACTCATTCAACAAAGAGGTTTGGTAGACTGAACGTTGGGAGTGGGAGCGATTTCTATGTCAAAATGGTCTTCGTTTTCTTGTCAACGGTATAACAAGTCAATATATATATTGGATATTCAATTTGAAAACTAATAAACATATTACTTGCTAGGATAGATAAGAGAGAAAAATATTCGTACACACATACATACAATAGTTTAATTTACAGCTAAGAGACCGATGCCGATGGTAATAGAACTCTAATCTCAATTCATTATAACTCAACTTTCTCAAGTTTTAGCCTAAATACAGATAGATCGACCTGGTTTCGAAGTTCTCAGTCATAAATCTCAGATATGTATAATGATATAAAGCATGCCCTTCAAATCTGCCTAATAGAGACATCAATCAACAATGAAATGTTCTTGTTCTAAATTGAGGTTAGTCTGACCTTATCAATATCTATAACCTGCATTTGTCGTTCTGAATTATCAAATAAAATAAAAAAATACATGTTAGCTATACACCCTAAAACTTGATTTTCTATCAGGCCAACATGAAATCTCCAGAAGAACAAACAGTTATCATAATGCTCTTATGCATACCCCGAAAGAGAATAGCTAGTTTATGCATTCTTCTGTAATAAATCCATCTTAAGAAATTCAAGTGCTATTTCAACTTCATTTTACATATCCTGAATTCCTAAAGAGCAAAGAACTTTTCATGACGTATAACAGGATGGCACATACAGTATATATGGATTTCAAATGTAGTACTTTACCTATCTACCTTGGAAATAGATGACAGATTCACTAGGTTTTGAAAATGTCATATGACAATGGTTGAAAGATTATCTAAATAAACGAAATATTTAACTGGGAAAATCCTTACTTCCAGATACTTTGCACAGTAAAAGCAAAGTTTCAAAACAACAAAATATACCTGTCACTACTAATATGAACCCTGTAATTCTGATAAAATGAGCAACTTGCTATCTTGTTTAAATGTATTATCCATTGGTTGTTTCCAATTTCTCTTGTCTCAGATCAATTGTCCTCTATTTAACCCAACCCAGAAATATTTGATTATAAAGGCAGGGGTGGTCCATACGAATTTTTTTCCCCTTTTTTCCACTTTCCACAAGCATTTTTTTGTTCCATCTTACATATATTCTTACATAAAGTCAATTTCCACAAGCATTAAAAATTCAGGCCATACATAACCCTAGTAACCATTAAGCAATTTTGGTTTTCACAACATATAGATGTATGTATTCCACACCATAAAATATTCTGAAATTTATGTCAATAAATTTCACATAAAAATGAAATGGGTAAAGAATTTTGCATGCACAAGGGCATATGCATATCTAGGGAAGTTCATCTTTTCAACAGCCAAAATAGATAAAGAGGGTTGGATACTCATATATCTTGGATGTAAAATTTCCAAGTTCTGGTTGTAGAGGACCTTTTGAGAAAACATATAAAAACACATCACACGTAACGTAAATATTTCCACACTAATTTAATGGGAAAAGAAAAGCACTCTACAATAAAGTAGAAAAAAATGTTGACAAGTTGATTAGACAACAATTGAATACCAATATAATTCTGAGCGAACACCATTTAAAGATATGCTTAGATTAGAAGGTTAAGAAATTTTAATTTGAGAAGTCAATATCTAGGTCTAGGCTGCATATGGCAAAATGAAACTCAGTGACAAAACAGTGAGTAAATGAAATTGCGGTTGTTTTAGTAGGAAACAATAAAAACTCAATCCCCAATTCCAAATTTTATTCTACCAAAACAATGTTAAAATTCAGAATTGAGAGGAGAAATAAGAGAATAAAGCAAAAATATGCGAGCTCAGACTGGCTCTAAATTCTTCTAAGAGTGTATTTGACATAACATTTCCTCTGAGCTTTCCAAATATAACCCATCATGCCAAATCTATAGTTGAAATTCATCAAAGTTGAATGCAAATCCCTTTATCTAAATCTAACCTCATGTCTTGCCAAAATTGAGAAATAATCACTCAACAAAAATTGAAGAAGAAACAGACAACTAAAACATAGATAATATATTTATTATGCGAGAACAAGAATACAAATAAATAATAATGAATATATATTATTGTCATAAAATTAAATCTTTTCGGCTATACAAACAAAATAAATTAAGAACCAAATTAGTTTCAATTATATTTCAAGTATCACTATATCTAAACTCCTAATTGTATACAAACAAGCATGAGAATCTATTCAATTCAAAACGATAAATTTGATTCATTCAGCAAGCTATGAAACGGCGAATCTCTAACCACATTTCCCTCGAGCAATACTTTCAACAATGCCACCGCCTTGCTCTTCCCTTTCGAGCTTCCATTCTGTGCCACGTCAGCAACTCCATCGGCCACCTTCAGCCCCGCCTCTCTCACCTCCTTCCCCACTTTCTCCCCTCCATAACTCACCAAATTCAACAGCGCCGCCACTGCATTCTCCTTCAATCGAGCAGGCGAACCAGTCCCCATATCTAACAAATCCACCAACACATCAACACCTCCACACTTTTTAAACTCCTCTGAACTCTCTTCGCACCCCGCAATTTGAGCTATAACCGCCGTGGCATCCTCAACAATTCCAATTCTACCCTCGTTAACAATCAACGAAAACAAGGGCTGAACTCCGCCCAAATTGATTATCTGTTGGCGGTTCAAAGGATAAAGCGCGATTCCAAATAGCGCTTTCAACGCGTCTTTAATCGAACGCGGCTGAGAGTTACGCGTTTTCACAATTTCAATCAAAGAATGAATAATATCACGTTTTGATCCGATGATCGGACGGTAGGATTCGTTTACCAGGAGGCTATGCAACGTGGCGGCGGCGGATTGAACAGCGGCAGGGGACGTCGAAGACGAGTGGTAACGGAGCGCGTGGGAGATTGCGTCGAGGAGGCCGCGCGTGGACATGAGAGAGTCGCGTGAGGTGATCGAGAGATTTAAAAGAGTAGCGGCGGCGTTCTCTTGAGCGGCTTGTGAAGAGGTGTAGAGAGTCTCGGCTAAGTAGGGGATGGCGCCGGCTTCGGCGATGATTGGTCTGCTGTCGGCGTCGTGTTTAGAAATGAGACGCAGCTCGGCAAGAGCTTCGGCGCGAGTTTGCTCGGAGACGGAGCCGAGCTTCGTTACTAAAGAGCGGAGAGTACGGCGTTTAACTTCCATGACCTCCGGGGTGTGTTTGCGAAAAAAATTAATGTTGTTTGTGTTTATGTTTGTTTTGAAGGCGAGTTTATCTGTTTATGTATGTTTGTTTGGCGAGAGAAAGTAAGAGAAAAATTTTCAAACCTTATCAACCTAACACTTAGTTGAAATTACCAAAATAACCTTCTGGTCATATCAGAGCCGCCATTTCAGTTATGAACAAATCTGAACTGAGGAATAAAATGGCCGCATTTTGTCAACGATGTGTCGTACTTTTGTGCAAATGGTAATTTTATTATATTTCAAAATAATTAAAATTGTAGGAATAATTAACTTTTTTCATACTTATGCCAAATTCTATGATTTATATTTTATTTATTTATTTAAATAAGCATTTATATATTAATTTCTATTTTTGTTTAAATTTTTTTACATTTAATTAAATAGAAATATATAATTTTATTAGAATTATAAAAAAAAACTTCTTAAAAATATCAAAAATCATCTTAAAAATATAAAAAAAAAAAACTCAATAAGAATGCATTTAATAATTTTCAAAAATCAGTGAAATTTCAAGAAATAATTATTTCAGAAAAGACAAAAATAACCTTGTTACATCGAATGGTTTTACTCATTATAATAACATAAAAAATACCTTATATTTTTTCTATCAAGTTAATTATTATAGAGAACAAAAATTTCACAAACTACTATTTTCAAAAGATACTATATGACACATGCAAATCAAAATATTTACTTATATTAGAAAAAACAAACATAATTTTTATGTATTTAAATAATCAAAATTTTATTCTATAGTTTTACATTATTACATATATAATTATAGGGCACGTTAATGTTTCTGACATATAAATAAGAAAATAAGAGTATTTAAATATAAAAGGTGGTCAATTAAATTATTATAATCCCTTTGAATACGTGGGCATTGTATTATTCCGTTCATATTACCGACTTGGTTTTATGCTTTAATTCTCAACCGACAATCCTTTTAATTTTTTAATTAATTTTATTTAATGATTTGATACTATTAATAATGGGAAGTTTAAGGAATCATCACTTGAATGTTGATGTTTCTATTATAAATGATGTTAAAACCACAATTTATTCTAAAAAATTTTTTATAACAATTCTGACATAACAGTTCATAATGGATCAGACAATTTTTTCTTATAAACTTTTTATTACAATCTCGACATGACAATTCACAATTAATCAGTTACAATTTATTATGTGAGACTTATTGTAAGTTGATCAATTACGAGTTATAACGTTATGATTGTGGATCTAACATTTTCCTTCTATTATAGTCAATTAACTTTCAATTTTTCATAAGGGTGTAATTTGATAATAAAATATAGAAAATAATAATAACAAAAATAATCAACTATCGTTTGACTATCAAGTCTAGCACCATATAGCATAATCTAATAAACTATTAATTAGACTCTTAAACCATACGGTTAAACGTTAGACTCGAACTAGACTTCGAGTATAGTATAGTAGTGTTATGTGTTAGAAATATAACATTTGTTTTTTTATCAATATTATAAGTGATAAGTTACTGGATTTTTCGGCTATATTTATCCTTTAAATAAAAACTATTTATTTTAGGAAAATGTAATTATTGAGTTGACTATATATATATATATATATCCCATATCTTAATACATTTATTAGAAGACTAAAAAAAAAATTAAATATGTGAGCTCGTTAGATTAGGCCCTGCATTTGTTAAAAAAATTATAAATTTAATTAATTTTTAAGTTAAAATTCTTTCACATTATAAAATATACTTATTTTGAAATATTCATAATAATTCATTAATGGAATTATATCAACTAGAAATTGACAGGGTTGTGGCAATTATATCCTTTTTAATCAATAATCCCATGAAGTTTCAAGAATTCATATTCCCCATTCATCATTCCCCATAATTATCATTCAACTAAACACATTTAACAAGCTAATCAAAAGCATTAAAAAAATTAAACAATAAAAGAATAAAATTATAAATATTTATCTTTATAAAAAATGAAGTATCCCACTACATATAACAAAAATATTTTAAAAATAATAATTTAATGGACCCTAATTATAATTACACACTTGAAATTATTTCAAATTTAATTTACTTCAAAATTCCATCGAATATCATATTTTTTTTTTAGTTTTTATTACAATAAATTAATAAAATGCAAATTTGAAATAAAAAAATTGAGCAATTAATAAAAGCAACTTAAATATTATGTTAACTCTATTAGATTATTTCTTATTCTATTTTTGTACTCGATCATTTTAAAACTTATATACATATGTGTGTGTGTGTGTGAATGTATTACATATAATATTAAAGGTAATTTTGAAAATTAATTGGAATTCAATAAAAATGTTGTGTGTCGTTTCTCTGCCAAGCTCGGGCCAATGCGAGGATATAGCTCGACCCAGAATGATCTTGCCAACTATGATTGAATGACCTAGCATAAGCTCGTCGAGCTGTAGCTCGACCCAGCACAAGCTAGTCGCGGACAATCCGAGGAATTAATCAATCAACCCCCAGATTACTTCAGATCCCGGATATTGCGGGAATGACTGGATCATTAGTTGTCATTGCGCGATCATAGAGCCCAATCGCAAGGATATTAGAATTATGATTCAAACCATTTGTAGTCCCCTTAATTTCGCTCTTTCCTTTATGTAAATCTTGTATGTAAACCCCTTAAAACGATAAGGAGGAGGATACGAATTCTGGATTGAAACTACATTGTAATCTCTCACAACATATACAAAAAACACAATGGACGTAGGCTGTTAACTTCGCTGAACCACTTTAAAAGTTCTCTTTGTCATTTATTTTTTGGCATTATTATTCACTCATTGGTGATTACCCGTAATCACGCACATATCAGTTTCGATCCCAACAAGGTTGATTGGATCTCGTTGGTTGGTGTAGAATTCTGTATCAACATTTTGGCGCTAGAGGAAGGGCCCTCCGCCACTATTTCAAAGACCTTGACAAACGTTCACCGCGATTTACCTATCCTAGGACCAAAATAGTGTTCACCATATCAAGAACTACCACCAGAAATCACGAGAACGTGGAAACCGCCCACCAGGAGGTGTAATAGGAGAATGCTGGACGCCGACCACCTGTGCCGCCAACTCAACACGCTGCAAACAATCAAGGGGCAGGGACATCAAATCTTGATAATGGCCAGCTGATGGAGATGATCAGAACAATGGTTGCACAGGTAGTGCAATCAAACGTGGTTGAGCTGAGGAACCAACAACCAGTGGCCCAAAACCCTGACCAGCCTCGCTTCACTGACGTTACCCCAATAGGTATGAATTCTGCAAGTCGACAGCTTGTTTCGTCCCCGCCAAGGGGCGATCAACACTGCCAACCTTGCAGGCAGCTCCTCACACACGAGTGAGAGTCATGCGAGCAAACAAACCCTAGGAGGCGGCTGGGGAAGCAGCCGTTGAGGGAAAGCGAAGGCAACAGACACCACCGAGAAGCTTGGCGGTATCCCCAGCATCAGCGTGTCAGTTTTAACCCCCGTCTAAGACAAGATTGATCTTCGCAGGCTCGTGAAGTGAGCTATTTGCGTCAATTTGCCAATGACCGACATTTCAATTATGACTCACGTCGCGAGCAACGCACCGACGAGCATGATAGCACCTACCAACCTAGCCATCATGACTCGACCTTGAGTATGAACACACGCATCAGAGGAGCTTCGCAAGTGATAGACTTGCGAACCCATTTCCTTGATGTACAACTTAACAGAGCCAACTAGGGGAACAAAATGAAGACCTGGATCGCATGCAAAGGATGCTCGACGATCTAAAAGCTCGCGAGAACAGCTTGGCAGAAGAAATAGTAAGTTCCCCCTTTATGGAGGAAGTTCGTTAGGTCCCGCTCCCACAAGGATTCAAGGCACCAAAAAGCAAGTTTGACGGGAAGGGGGACCCCAGAGATTACCTGAACAACTTTAACGACCTGATATAGCTACACCAGGTCAATGACTTAGCAAAATGTCGGTGCTTCACAGTCACATTAGTGAGAGATGCCAAGAGGTGGTACAAACGACTCAAGGCGAACTCTATTAACTCCTGGAAACAATTCTCTACACTATATCTACAGTAGTTTTAGGCAAGGAGAAGGTTCACAATGCCATTCAACTACTTGAGCAACATTCGCCAAGAGCGAGATGAATCGCTAACCTCATTATTAACGAGATTCTAGAACAAGTAGGCAAAGGTCATTGATTTATAAGAGCTTGAAAATACACATGTACTTAGTGGTTTATGAGAATTACTTAAGGGAAATTAGGTTTAATTTATTCAATCTAACTTAATTATTCCATAAATGTCTTTTATGAGATCACGGGTATGTTTTGAGTGTTTTTAGGTTAAAAGTTCTTAAAGATGACATTCAGATAAATATTATATCGATGATGGAATGTGGGACGACAAGAATCAAACGATTTATGATTCGGAGCTGAAACGAATAAGTTATGGCGATTTGAAGTTGAAGTGAAAATCCTGAAATAAGCTCCAATTTTGAACATGCGTCAGTAATTCAACAATAACTTGAGCTGTAGATTTTGGATCGAGATGATTCATGGACCTTTGGAAAGCTGATTCAAAGGAATACAATTCATATCTTTACCATTTTGCTAGATTCGACCGTTATCATGCTCAAAGATCACCATCTTTTAAAGATTGCAAGTTTTGGGGCAGAATCAACTATGCCTAGGCACAGTGCCGCGACACAACTGCGATTTTGGAATTTTCTACATTAAATTTATGACATGTATTTCCTGTTTTAAGACTTCTAAAGTGATTAAGATAGTGGGAATCATAACCCTAAAACCCTAGGAGTATAAATATATGTCTTTAGCTGATTTTTGGGGAGATTAGAAAGGAGGGAAGTTTAGCCACTCTTTGGAGATTGCAAATTCTTGCAATTTTGGGTCACCAATTAGAGAAGTTTTTCCACTCTTTCTTATACTTATGTTTATGAATACAATGGTTGCTTTTATTATTGAAAGTATGAACTAATTTTATTTTCTAGGGCTAAGAT